AAGGGAGGGGAAAAAATGAGGAGCTGATGCCAGGGGCTTAAGTGGAGAGCAAATGTTTTGAGAATGATGAGGGCAATGAATGTACAAATGTGCTTTACACAATTCATGTATGTATAGATTGTGATAAGAGTTGTATTGAGCCCCTAATAAAATGATTTTTAAAAATGTGCTGAAAAACTCAGCTTATACTTGAGTATATATGTGTATATACATGTATATATATTTATATAAAAAGAAAACTTCTTAGCTGTACCATACACCTCGAGGGAATGAGTCACTGGGCCTGGGGGCTCAGGACTATATTAATTCCAGTGGACATCAAGGTCAACTGAAATAAAATAGTATACAAAGACATTATTCTAGATGCTATTTTGATAATCTGAAAAGCTTGTGAGCAGCCGGCTACGGAGCAACTACTGGTGTCTTCCTGTGTGAAGAACAGAAGAGTGAAGAACCAAAGACATGGAGGAAAAATTACTCCTGTGGACTAATGGCTTCCATGAGACCCAAAGAACTAGATGGTGCTGGACCACTACTGCTGACAGCTCTGAAGATCACATTAGAAGGTCCTGGAATGAGTGGGGGCAAAAGGTGGTACAAAATACAAAATCCTAGAAAAAAGACCAGCCTTATTGGTTGGAGAGAGACTGGTGGAACCCCTAAGTCCAGAGTCCTTAGTCACCCTTCAGATCTGTGGCTCAAATTTCTGGCAAACGATCGACAGGCTATAAGGGGAAGGAAAACACCAGGGGAGCACAGCTCCTTGGAATAATAAACTGTTTGAGACCAAAAGGGCAGCATTTGTCCAACGACAAAGTTCAGAATGTGGGAAAGGTGATGTCACATTATAGGGATTGTAAGCAAGGACATGAAACAAAATGCGTATGTATTCTTGAATGGAAAATTGATTTGCTCGGTAAACGTTCACCCAACTCATAATAAAAAAATTTTAAAAATCTTAGGAGAGTCAGTAAGTTATCATTTATCAAGGTAGCTGTGCATGACTCAATGAATAAAGATGAAACAATTTTCCAACAAGCTCCTTGATAGTCTTGTGTGCTGCAAGAAAATCTACCAAGACTATCCTCTTGGAGTCCCCCAACGCAGTCCCAGAACCTTCTGAGCTCCTTGACAGCCTTTCCTGTAACTGGCTTAGCAGATCTGCACTGTTGCTTGAGGGCACCTTCCTGAGACCACATCTGCAGCCCTCCACTGACCACAGAGGCACGCTTCCCTCTGCTTTGTTTGAGATGGACCTATGTATGCACGAACTGGAACCTCAGTAGCAATGCTTTATTTACCCATGTATTCATTACAGTTGAAACAATAGAATTAAGATACAGGACAGTCACTCACCAGAGAATCCCTCCATAAAACAAGGAAAACACAAAATAAAAGATGATTGACCCCCAGGTCACAAGATGATTGATCCAGGTCCAGAAGTGAGTTTCTAAAGCCATCTGAAAGGAGACAGAGTAAGCCATTGTTAGAAATACAGCACGGTCCCTTGTTTGAGAGTGCCATAGCAGAGCTCAGCAGGGAAGAAACACTAGTTAAAGGATCCCAGGATGAAACTGAATCATTTCAAGTTTATAATACTTTTCTTCTGTGAGGTAGAACACTTAAATTTCATGTGAGTATTCTCAACTCAATGGCCTGAAATAAATGGTGTACTCTCACATTATATGCCAAGAAATGAACCTTAATTTGGCCAATATAATCACACAAGGCTTTCTAAAATAATGGACTTACCAAAGAATTTTTGACGAAAATGAAAATGCATTACTAAAATAGCAATCAGTAAAATTATTTTATTATTGAGAAGAGGCCAAAGCAGTGAGGAGGATTTACTCGGTCGCTCTGTGACTGGGTGCAGACTGTTTCTCATGATGGGAACAGAAAGCCTCATCTTTCTCCCACAGCAAGAACGGTGGTTCAAACTACCCTCCTTGCAGTTATCAGACCAGCCTGTAACCCACAGTTCTCATTTCATTCAGTATCTTACCTTCACTGTAACTGTAATGACCATGACAGTGAAGACCAATGTGCCAAATGTCCAGTTTCCAAACATCTAAACAGACAGAATCAAGTTATTTTATTATGTGTCAATATTGTATGTCAAAATTCAATCAGATACAAGGCAAAAAGTATTTTTGTTTCTGTGCTAAGAATCACTTGCTTTATTTACATCTGTTACATCAGACATATGACTATTTAGAAGTTGAGTGTATAAGAAATGTCATATCACATTATTATTGTGCACAAAGATGCCTTGGAGAATATCATCAGAATGGAAACCCCAAGATGCGTTTGGAATTGTGTAACGCTTGCCATGTAAGTGCATGTTCGAATAACAAAATCCATAGCGACTGCTTTCTTTTGTCATACAGTAGCATTAACAACACACCCTAGCCAATCAGATCTGTTCTCTGAAGTCACTGCGCAGAAGGAGAGCAGGCACTTGCCACTCTATTTCTGGACGTGGCATAAGCAGAACAAGAAATTATACCCAAGACTAGTATCTGGAATTTCTCATCAAAAGAGTCTATATAACAATGCTGTTGATCCAGTCAGACAGGATTCCACTGGGCTTGAAAGCCAAAACTTACTGAAGTTTATTAAGAATACCAAATCCCAAAAGAATGCTAGGACTTTTTTTTTTACAGACAACATGGACACAAATATAGACATTCATTTAAGTCAAATGTTTAAATAAATTTAGTTTTCAAAGTAATCATGATTTTTAGCATTGGCTTAAACATTATTTAAAAGGCTATTTTTAAAAAGTTGGAGTTACTTCTAAAAATGCACACTTGAGAGAAATTGTTTAACCTTTCTGTATCTCATTTCCTCACTGTAAAATGTAGAAAAACTTCATAGGTTTCTTTAAGAATTAAGGTATAAGAAAAGCATAGGGTACTTGATACCTAATAAACAAGTAATAAAAATGTCTTATTAGCCATGAAATATTAGTACTCAATCCCTTTCCTACAGGCATTTATGTCCAAAAAACCCGGAGAAGTACACTGGGCCTCATCCTGCATTTGTCATCTCTAGAAACGACTTAGAAATGCTGACGACCCCTGCTCTGTCCTGAGTTGATCTCGGCCTGCAGAGGAGGACCAGTCTCCTCCTCCAGGGCGACGGAGCCAGGTGTGGGGCGCTGGGCTGAAGGCGGAACAAGTGCACGCTGCCTGGCCCTCCACAGCTGGTTTTACTGGGCCCTGACTGCAGACCACTTAGGCGGTGGGGTTCCTTAGGAACCGAGGAGAGTTTGGGTTGCCTTCTGCACAGGACCCAGAGCTCAGTAACACAAAACCACACACTAGCAAGACCTTTGATTCTGGTAGTAAAATCGACAGGAGTAATTAATGCTCAACGGTTAAGTCTGCTACCTCTTTCCATTCAAACATCCCCTTGAGCAGGCTGGCCATGCAGTGAGGGACAAAAGGGGTTTCCGAGATCTGACTAAAGAGAAGGTGACTTGGGCTTACATTTGGATTTGGGCTTAGTGACATGTATTTATGTCATCTTTTGACAACCTGGCAGTTTGGGTGTGTCACACTGTGGTGGCTTCTGTGATGTTGAAAGCAATGCCATCAGTATTTCAAGTACCCACTGTGGACAGGTTTTTGGACTTAATAAGGTCTAGTGACTTACTTCTGAAAACCGGCCAACCAAAAGCTATGTGTCACAACAGAATAGTGTTCAATATGCTCCTAGAAAGCGAACACCCTAGACTGGAAGGCACTACACAGCAGCTGTAACAATAGACTTACACATGCCAATGATTAGGGAACTGCAAATCAGAGCCGGCAGCTACAAAAGCAGAGCCGGCAAATCAATACAAAAGCTGTCCGAGCGAACTCACTGGCAACTAACAACAAACTAACAAATTCACGTCAGTCACAGTCATTTTCACATCAACTACAGTTTGTGTTTGTACCTGGATGCTCTGGTTTCCTTACAGTGGGCCTACCAAAATACGTAAGGTTTAAATCAAAACGACTGCCATCGAGTCAACACCAACTCGTAGTGACCTAAGGACAGGGCAAACCTGCCCCTGTGGGCTTAAACCTCAGACGAGTAACTCTTTACGGGAGTAGAAAGCCTCATCTCTCTGCCGGAGTGCCTGGTGGTTTTGAACTGCTTGGGTTAGGAGCCCATCACCTACCCACCACGCCCCCAGGGCTTTAGACTTGGCTGGACTTGGATCTGCTCATGCTCGAGAGAGATGCTCACCACACTTTCTACCTGCCGTGGCCTATTTCCCAGATCTCTTCTTGCGAATTAAATTGTCACCAATTATTTCAATAAAGCTGAGCTTGTATCTTAAGCCTATGCTATGCCAAACAAAATGCCAGTCCTTGAGTAACAAGTTCAAGTGCCTGTCCTTCATGGAGCTGACTTAAGTATAGGAAACTGACCATAAACAAATAAACCCCCCACTATTTACTTTCAGATGGAGACCAGGGCTACGAAGGACATGAGGCAAAGGTCAGGGAGGGATGGAAGGTGAGGGAGATGGTATGTTACTGGAGTGACAAGGAAGGCCTCGTCAAACCTCTGATGTTCCCACCGAGACCTGAACGGAGGCAGCCATGTGTCCTTGGGAGCAAAAGGCACTCACGTGGAGAAGCGGTGAGTGCAGAAACCTGCAAAGGAACCCAGTGGCCTCGCCAAGAAACAAGGAAGCCAGTGCGCATGAGCAAAGGGTTGGGATGGGAGGAAACAGACTCAGAGGTAAGAAAGAGTAGGTTCACAGTGAGATTTCATATGAAATGTGATTAAGAAGTTACTGGTGAATTTAAGCCAGTAGAGGCAGGATTTCATTTTAAGAGACTGTCTAGGAGCTCTCTGGAGAGAGGAAGAGCAGAAGCAGAAACAGGAAGGAAGCAGTTACTATGGTCCTGACAAGGGGTGGTGATGTGTTAAGACTGTGGTGGCGGGTGGAGCGCGTGGAAAAATCCAAGATTTGTTGTGACATTAGAACCAGTGTGACTGCATATGGGGTGATTCCTAGATGACTACTAGAGCAATTGGGTAAAAAGTGGTTCCAACTTTTAATACAGGGAAGATTAGAAGGGAAGTGAGTTGGACAAAAGACCAAGAATCCTGTTAACTAGATAACGTTTGAGAGCCTATGATATTTTTAAGTGAAGCTAGATAGTTTTAAATGAGTCTGGGAAGAAAAGGCAGAGAGAGATGTCATTTGGGGAGCTTTCAACATAATATTGTTGTTGTGAAGTGCGGTCAAGTTGCTTCTGACTCATAGAGACCTTCTACACCAGAGTGAACCACTGCCCGGTCCTGTAGCAGCCTCACAACTGTTCGTAAGTTCAAGTCCACTGTTGCAGGCACTGTGTCAGTCTATCTCATAGAGGGCCTTCCTCTTTTCCACTGTCCTTCTGTTTCACCAAGCATGACGGCCTTTTCTAGGAACTGGTCTCTCCTGACAGCATGGCCAAAGGACATGAGACGAAGTCTCGCCAACCTTCCCGCTAAGCAGCACTCTGGCTGTACTTCTTCCAACAGACTAGGTCATATTTACAACCATGGGAAGAACGAGGATCAATGCAGACACAAGACAAAATGGGGCCCCCAGTCACCACTCCATTGACAACAGTGGCTCTCAAATGAGGTGGGTCTGTTTACCTCCAGGATTTGGAGACACGTTGGCTGTAAAAGAGAAGTTCCTGGTATCCACTGGGGTGAGGCTAAGAAAACTGCTGCAGTCTCTAATTCAAAGGGCAAGGCCCATCCCTGCCCAAACAAGTAATCATCTGGCTTCAAATGTCAATAGTGCAGAGGTTTTAGAAGAGAAGACTAAAAAAGAAGGGGGCGGAAGGAAGCCAAAAAAGAGAGGGGTGTTCAATTCTACAATAATAATAATCTACTATGAACAGATGGATAAGCAGACACATGGGCTGAAGGAGTGTGGGAGCATCAGTGGAATTGTACTCATAAATATATATGGATTTGAACATGGTAGTTGTAGGTGGGTATTAACTTTTGCTGCAAATATGTCCTTGCATATGATGTGGAGCATAGAGGGGCAGTTATGAAAAAGTCTTAGACACAGCACCTTAAGGAATGAGTCACTGGACCTGGAAGCCTAGGAGCATAGTTTTGGGGACACCAGGGTTAATTGGCATAGTATAGTTCACCAAGAAAATGTTCTCAAGTCAGTTTTGAGAATCACAGTGGCTGGGGTTTTCGAAGCTTGTGAGGGACCAGCTAAGGTGAAACTATTGCTCTCCAAATTTGGAGAAAGAAGAGTGATGCAACTGGAAGACACACGGAACAATTAGTCAAGTGTACAAATCTTTTTTTAAAATTTGTATCTACATATTTTTTTCAATGAACCATGTGAGCTTACACATCCAGAAGAACTAGGTGTAACTTGGATACCACTGCCAGCTGCTCTGAAATTAACAGAAAATCCTGTACAGAGGGGGAGAAAAATGTAGAAAACCCTTCTAAATCATAAACTGGCCAGGCTTAATGGTTGCCTAGAGATTGGTGGAATTCCTGAGACTATTGCCTGCAACTGCACTCACCCCTGTAGCTCAATTTTCAGCCAGACAGTAGTCCGGTCTATAAGGAGCCCTGGTGGTGTAGTGGTTACAAGGTGGGTTCTGCAGTTCAAAACCACTAGCTGCTTCCTGGGAGAAAGATAGCACTGTCTACTTCTACAAAGAGTTACAGTTTCAGAAGCCCACAAATCTACCCTGTCCTAAATGTCCAATGAGTCAGCATCCACTCAATGGCAGTTAGTTGTATGTTTTAAAAAAAAATCATTTTATTGGGGGCTCGTACAATTCTTATCACAATCCATACATCCATCCATTGTGTCAAGCACATATATACATTTGTTGCCCTCATCATTCTCAAGACATTTGCCTTCCACTTGAGCCCTTAATATCGGCTGCTCATTTTCCCCCTCTCCCATTCCCTCCTCCCTCAAGAACCCTTCATAATTCATAAATTATTATTATTTTGTCATATGTTACACTGTGTGACGTCTCCCCCCGCCCTCTTCTCTGCTGTCCACCCCACACAAGTCAGGGATGCATTCATTAGAATAACCAACCATTTGAGATCTAAGGGCAGCATTTGCCTAAGGACAATGTTCAGAAGGCTTAGGAGACAAGGAGACGCACAGACAGGGGGAGATGGAACGAGTGATGTCACATGGCGGGGATTGCAATCAAAGAGATGAAGGACACTGTGTCTGAATAACAATGGATGGATGTACACCTGTTGCTCTGCTCTGTAAACTTGCACCCAATTCACATTAAAAAGTCAAAAAGCGAGAGAGACTGGTGTTACTGAAGCTGAGAGAAGATAATGTGGCAGGCAAGGGAACTTTATAAATTGTGCCCAATGACTGAGTTCATGAGGGCTGAGACAAGCCCTTGATTTAGCAATGTGGAGCTTGGCTGGTGACCTCAAGAGCACAGTGTTGGCGAAAGCCTGACTGGAACTGGTCCCAGGGAGAAAAGCATGCCAGTCCCAAGAGCGAACAGACAGCTTCTAGGAGGGCAGCTCTACAGAGCCACAGAGAACTGGAGCCAGAGTCAGGGTTACGGGACCAAGGAAGTGTGTTTGCTTGTGGGTGTGGTGTTGTTGTTAGCAAATGGGAGAGCATGTTTGTACTCTGGGGAACTTGATCCAATGAGAGACTGATTACACAGGACACAGGGTAACTTTAGGAGTCAACTCTCCAGTTAGACAAGGCAGGATTTAGGAATGCACCACAGACGAAAACCTTTTCCGTAACAGGCTTACACATCTATGTATAGAAACCAATTATCCAATACTAATGAGCTTGTTATTACAGGTGTGACATTTCTGACTCATTCATTGCTGGGTCATAGCAAAAGCAGCAAGGTAAACATTTCTGGTCTCCTCTTAGGTACAGCTATCCCTAATGCTCCATTAAGTGGCGGCAATGTTGTTAGCACTTTGTCGGATAAATATATGAACACATGGGGGAATTTTATAATAAACTTGAAAATCAAAGGTCTTTATAGCATACTCTTCATATGAAAAATAAAATCTTTCTCTACCTCGAGGGGGCTTCAAACTTTTGTGGAAAAATGTGAAAGATAATGAGATTTCCCTACAACCTTTTTGAACCACCTTGTATTGGAATTATATTGTATACATGCTCTTGAATGTCCTGCATGGCAATTACAGTAGTTAATCATTCGAACTGAAATAGATAACCTGCATTCTCTGGGGAATAGAGATACAAAACAGTGTTATTTTGAATCTTAACACAGAGCTCTTACCATTTGATGGTTAGGTTTCAACGGCTGATGACATGTACAGCATGAAAGAGAAATTCATTAAGGATAGGAAATAGGGGGAGAAATTGTTAAAAATTCAAGGAACAAAAATAATGGCAAATAATGCAAAAGGGCTTCTATTTCACTTTCTCCCCAAATTATAACCTGCATTTTCATCTCCTTGGTCTACCTTGCTTTGCTAATTATTTTTCTCCAACTAATCTGGCAAATGGGGCATACCTAGAATGTTTGATGTGGGGGTGGAGAATTACTCTTTCTTCCTTCATCCTTCCCTACTTCATATGCTGGCACAGTTTAGATTTTAGAATGCTATCACAAAGAGGAAGTGCTGAAACCCTGGTGGGGACTGAGCATGATAGCGGGACAGGAGGAAAATCAAGGGAAATAGAGGAAAGAGCTGGGAGGCAAAGGGCATTTATAGAGGTTTAGATAAAGACATGTGCATATGCAAATATATTTATATATGAGGATGGGGAAATAGATCTATGTGCCTATATTTATAGGTTTAGTATTAAGGTAGCAGAAGGA